TGTGATTGTAATGCAACTGCCACTCAAGAGCCTGAGGATAATGTGATTGTAATGCAACTGCCACTTAAGAGTCTGAGGATGAATGCGATTGTAATGCAACTGCCACTCAAGAGCCTGAGGATGAATGTGGTTGTAATGCAACTGCCACTCAAGAGCTCGAGGATGCCCCGAGCCAACAGAGAAAGAGGGTACATCGTGCAAAAAGGTGCTCGGACGAACTATGGTACCAGTGATTGTAGCCAAAGGGATACCACAAATATCCCTTATATCCACTGGACCAACCCAGTACAGAATTAACCATACGGGGAAATTCAACCCCATGCAGCCAGAAGCTTTACCTTCAACAGTGCCTTTATCGTAACAGGGCCAAATAGGCGATGTCACAGCGCTGCGATAGTGCATCATTCAGTTTGCTATAAGAATAAACGTAAAACGTTCATTCCGATGGCCTCGAACTTTTGATATCAAATTGTGCCAACACACAATATACATGTCGATGATTTGTAACTTGGCCAGAAAACACAGTATATCGTTCATTCCGATGGCTTCTGACTTTTTATACCAAATGTTGATAACATCATACGCATAACATGATTTGTAAATTGATTAAAAAAACAGCATATTATTTCATTCATTCCGATAGCCTCTAACCTTTGAAATCAAATAGTGATAACATACCATATGCATGTCGATGATTTGCAACTTGGTCAGGAAATAGAGTGCGAATTCGGCCCGATTAACTGAGCCGTCCAGGTCAATGTCAGCCTCCTGCAGCATCTGCCGCGTCACCCCGATTTCTTAATTGTATGTAATTTGGAGTAGAATAAGTTAAGTGGACATGCAGAGGATATCAGTGCACGTGCTAATGGGAGTAAGTGGATGTTCAGAAGATGTATTGATAGGGCAATACGTAGACATTCAGGGGGTAAGAAGTGTACATTCAGCGGGCAATAAGCTTTCAGTTCCAAGCACAGACAGACATATATTACCTACACAAACAAGTCTTCGCACACCAGAACATAACAATCGAAGGAAAACTATCTTCGGGATCATGTATAGAGTGCAGGAGAGCGTATACACACACACATACCTCCCATATCCCCTATACGACTCATCTGGAGGTATTGATACAAACTACCGAGGAGTATATAAACACACACACACCTCTCATATCCCTAATACGTCTCATCTGAAGGTACTTGGAGACAGCCTCAATCAGTGCCGCAAGCCTTCCTGCGAATATCGGAACGGCAAAGAATATGTACGTGACCACAAAGATGCGACGCCTCGTGCTGCTGAGGTCTAGATCATAGTCTCCGTAGCCCACAGTGGTCAGAGTCTGTGTTCAAGTGCACAGAAACGCTGCATTGAGTGAGTTTCCAAATAGCGCTTGCAAGTGTATGGGTGTGAAGTATGTGTGCGGACAAAGACAAGATCAAGACTGCGAAGGATATGCACTCACTATGCACACATCCGCGGAAGTGTGCCGTTGCCAGTTGAATGGCTGTCAATGATCAAATCTGAGCCGTCTGTGGTTAGAATGTGCATCCGGTGTAAACAATGAGACTAGTCAGTGCCAGGAAGCACACCAAATAGCACTCGAAAGCCAATTAATTGCAGCCAAAAAGTCAATCAATGGGTGACAGAAGGCACAAACTGGAGCCAGATAGCAGACACATTGGTGACAGAGCCAATTGACCCCAAAAGGCAGATTGATCAGTCCAAGAATGGCACCTTTCAGATGTCTGCTACGCGTGTATGCTTTCGAATATTCTTACAGGGCGTACAAGGTACTCGTGATCCAACTGCGTCGCAATTTGCTGGGCATAGAGCAACACACGGACTTTACTATGTAATGTACGGCTGGCATCTACACATAGCCCATCCAAGACAACCAAGCAATGCGACCCACCTCAATAGTGAAATAGATAGACGTCGTGAAGTTCAGATCCGCCGTGAAGTGGAACCCGACTGCGCCGATCAGAACCAGCGCCGCGAGAATACCCGTGGCCACGACCACCTCAGTCAGAATCCGCATGAGCGTAGGAAGAGGCGGTGCTCCGCCTATGCTCATCTCCGTCGCCACCTTAGTGCACACAGCGTGAGAAGATGCATGAGCACGGCTCGGTATATGACTATGGTATTAGTGAGCGTGTATATACACGTGTTCTTCTGTGTGGTGGGTGGGGCTTTCCGTGTGTCTCGTGGCATGAGTGTAGTGTAAAGGGCTGGCAGTGTTTCGGTCGGTGTGTAAGACATAGTTTCATAGAGACTCCGCCTCAAGTGGTTTTGTTCTTGTATGTATGTGCTTGTGACACAAACAGTACGTTTGTCAGTATATACCAAGCATAGTTATTTGGGGTGCGCCGTGGAGCTCAGCTCCGCTGACATATGAGCGTAGAAGCATATATGTGTATTCTGCAAACATCCGCGTGAAGATGAGAATGCGTAAGACTACGTACAAGCGAGCATATACGTGTTTGTAAATTGACATTTACCCATCGACAGACAGTATACAGTGCACAACAACAAGGCCAACAACAAGACGACTTGACAGGCAGAGCGCAGGAGATTGTACGCAAATACACACCATACCTCATGCACGCCCGAATACTCTGAAAGCTATCTCTAACCTATGTGACCACGAAGAAAAAAACATTATGATGAAATCCGGGAAATATATACACAAAACATACGGCGGAAAGATGACTGCTGACAACTGTCAGGGCTGAGACCAACACAGTAAGACCGAGCAGAATATAAAACATGAAGAACCACTTGCCACCATCGGTCAAGGGAGCAATGTCTCCGTACCTGCAAGAAGAGAGCTCGCCGTGAGATCATGAAGCTATTGTTTCGAACATTCTATATACGTGTCAATATAGGTGCTTATATCAAACTATACACACACACACACAACACAAACACACCCACGCACACACACACACACACA